ACAAAGAATTTTCCCCTTTTACAGAGAGAGAATTTCTTCACTCCCAATACTTTCTAACCCCTTTTCCCTCTCGATTTCCCTTATTTATAGACGGTTACAACCTCCTCTGGCTTGGGCCTTATCTGCTCCCCTTTGCCTGGACTTAACTTCCCTCATTTTAACATGGGCTTCTGTAATGACTTTATGGACCTGGGCCCATCCTGCGCGAACTTACTCCATCCCGTTTGTCCACACCCGACCCGTCCTCTGCAATGCGGATCACACCAAGCCCGGGTCATTTTGGTGTCCTCATTTGCCCCCAATAATCTCTTTCCTCATTAATGAGGGTGAGATTATTGAAAAGACACGATCTTGTTCTGACGACTCGGAACAATGACACGAGGAATCGAACGGCTGGCACAAAAACCCAAGCTTCGAGATCTGCAGCGCCACTTTTTGCCTTGACCTTTTGAGTTCCATGTCGCCTTTACTTTTCCTTTTTATAAGTTCCGGTCTTTCAACCTTCACCCTTCCTCTTACCTCTCGCTTCTACTATTTGCTGCTTTCCTGCACATTCCGGCAATCCTTTTCAATTTCTCCGGCAAGTCCTTCCTTTTCAATTTTTAGCTAGTGTGCCGTTGCTGAGTTCATCACAAACTTTCAAGGTCAGTTTTTTTTTTTTTTTAAATCTCTCCTTAAAAGACGTCTTTACTGCTTAGGACTCTTCCCCTTATCTATGGCTCCCCCCAACCTGAACGCCATTCGATCCAAGAATTACATTCCTCGCGACGTTTCTCTTAGAGTCTATCCAATAAACTTAGACTAGATATCTGGTGAGGGTCTTCTTCCTGGGGAAGTTTTATTCTTCGCCGTTCACTTGAACGTCATTAGGTTCCCCTTACACCCGTTCTTTTGTTATGCTTTCAACAAATTGGGGCTCTGCCCCCTACAAGTTAACCCAAACTTTCTTAGGTTAATTTCAGTCCTCCTATTCTTGAATCGTGATAGGGGTCTCAATCTTGACATTATTGACCTTCTCCTCTGTTATCAGATTAATAAGATTTCACAAAATGACTTGTACTATCACTTCTTCCCTATTGACAAACGGTCGATCTGCACTGATAAGAGCTCATTTGAAAAAGGTTAGAGACGAAATTTAATCGTGGTTGGTGGGAATTGGCAGACTCCGCTCGGCCAATCCTTCTCTATCCTTTATTCCTTTGGAGCATGTTCTGTCTCTGGCTACAAAAAGCTGAAAACACATCCTACTGAATGCCACTGTGAAAGTTGTTTTCCCCGTTTTTGCACTTTTCTTTGTAGATGCCTTTAAATCCCTCATGATGAACTAGTTTATAGCGTCTACAGGGCTAGGCTAGACACCTTACAAGAAAGTGTGTTGAACAATGTCCCTTCAGCTATTGATTTGCTTATATCTGATAATCTCTCTGACATCTCTCTTTTAGGGTCTACAATAGAGAACATTCAGATCCCATCGTTCAGCAGGAGGAGGCGTCCTGCTCCCACCCCTTCTAACGCTCCTACTATCACATCATCATCATCTACACCTGCTTCCACATCGTCTTTCCTTGCTATCTCTGCCCCAGAGCAAGTTGCGATTGCTCCAGCTGTGATTCAAGTCTCAAACCGTTCTGCTGATGCGCCCTCTGAGCTCACCCATGCTGAGAACCCTATTGTGGGCCATACTGCTGAAATCCGTCCTGCTGCTCCCGTCATTATGCCTTCAAACATCTCGTCCGATACTTCCTCAGAGAGCACTCAGGATGCTGGGAATTCTGAAGACAATGGAGGGCCAGCTAATGCTGGTCTGTCAGAAAAGAGTTTAGGAAAAAGGCTAATGCCTGAGGGCGGTCATGATTAGAGTGATATCCTACCGACCCGAAGGATCAGGATGGCTTCCTTCAAGGTTACTGAACCATTGCCCCCTGCCCAGTTCTTCATTCCTGAAGGTGAATCGGCCAGAACCTCTAGTCCGATTCCATCCGTTCTTCCATGGCGACCTTTGGTCAGCCGTGAAGATGGATCAACCATTGGCCCCACTGACTCAATATACAAGGAACCCCTCACCTCCTTTGCTTTCTACAAGGGTTTCTGGACCCCCAAAGACCTTGAAATCCAGAACAAGCTATCCTTTGGTGAGATGTTCCAACGGTTCCCAACCGCTGCTATGGAGGTGACTTTTCTTTTCACTGAAATGTGTTTCTTTTCTGTTATGACTCCTTAGTAGCTAGTCTGACCTGAATTTCTTTTTCTTCATGCAGACTTTATTCGGGATGTTCACTTTTCAAAAAACCATTGAAACTCTGAACAAAAAGCTTAAATCCCTCTCTGTGGGCCTTAAAAGGTCTGTTGAAGCAGAGAATTTTCTTGAGGCTAAAGTTGCTGAGCTAGAGTCTAAGCTGAGCGAGTCAGAGAAAGGAGTTGCTGACTTAAAGGCAAAGAGAGACGGTCTGGCAAACGAGAGGGATTCCCTCAGAGTTGAACGGGATTCCCTGAGGACCGAACGGGATTCTCTTCATGATGAGGTTGATATCTTGAAAACTGAGAAGAGTGTGGCTCTGACAGAAAGGGACTTTCTCAAAGCTGAAAAGGGAGACCTTCAGCGCTCATTCATTGCTGAACGGTTGTCTCATGCGAACTCTCAGGAAAAGCTCTTAAACAAACGGTCTTCCTTGATGAACATGATCGGTAAAGTTGAAGGGGGTATGAAAGCTCTCTTTGCTCGCTTTACTAGGACCAGTGCCATCCAGTATGCTGAAGGGTACAGAGACGGTTTTATTGGCCGTTCTCCCCCTGAAGGTGAATCAAACTCTTGTGCTGGTCCAGATGAATTATATGCTTCTCTAGACATCCACCCCACAAATAATTATCAAACCCACCCTGCGACCCGGCTGAGAATATTTTTATTGAGTGTATAGAGGTCGCATCCTCAAGAATTATCCCACTCTTTCATCCCCTGAACATTCTTCCCCTTTCTACCATTGTGCCCTCCTCCTCAGTTACTGCTGACAGACCTATGCCTGTCGAGAGAGTGATTCATCTTGACTCCCCTTCTAAGGATGATAGGGCAAATGAGAATGGAGAAGACCTCAATGGTCCAGAGGATGATGGTGGCGAGAATGACAGGTTACAGCCTGGAGAAGATCATCAAAACTGACACCCAGTAGCAGTTTTTTTTTTTTTCTTTTTCTTTTTTTTTTTTAAAAAAAAATCTTCATGTATCGTGCTATGTACCTTGGGGCCTTTTTGGTAATGAATGATAATGCTTTTGCTCAGCACCACTTCCCTCCTTCGAGTTTTCTATTTTCAGCTTTGCAGTGTATTTTTACAAGTACTTAACGTTCGGCTTTGTCACCATTCTGTCCTTTTCTTACTTATTTTTGAACAAGTGTTTGGCGTTCGGCTTTAAGTGCCAGCTGCCACTAACTTTGCTGAATGCCTGGCGCTCGGCTTGAACGCCTCTTGCCACTTGGCTTTATTTTTGAGCAAGTGTTTGGCGTTCGGCTTTAGCTGGCTACCACTAACTTTGCTGAATGCCTGGCGCTCGGCTTGAACGCCTCTTACCACTTGGCTTTATTTTTGAGCAAGTGTTTGGCGTTCGGATTTAGCCAGCTGCCACTAACTTTGCTGAATGCCTGGCGCTCGGCTTGAACGCCTCTTGCCACTTGGCTTTATTTTTTAGCAAGTGTTTGGCGTTCGGCTTTAAGTGCCAGCTGCCACTAACTTTGCTGAATGTCTGGCGCTTGGCTTGAACGTCTCTTGCCACTTGGCTTTATTTTTGAGCAAGTGTTTGGCGTTCGGCTTTAGCCAGCTGCCACTAACTTTGCTGAATGCCTGGCGTTCGGCTTGAACGTCTCTTGCCACTTGGCTTTATTTTTGAGCAAGTGTTTGGCGTTCGGCTTTAGCCAGCTGCCACTAACTTTGCTGAATGGGAAGAGTGTCAATTAAATTTTTAACAAAGAAGAGACTTTTTATAAAGCTTGAAAATTTCGTACACTTGCAAGCATGCAATTTAGAGTATGCATATTGCTTGAAATTAAACTCTACTTTTACTGGTGGTACCTTTTTAGAGACGTAGCATTCCATGGCTTATTAACCACCCTTCCTGTCATAGTTTCTAGGACGTATGCCCCCTTCCTTATGACCTCTGCTATTCTGTATGGACCTTCCCATGGGGAGAACATCTTTTTGACTATTTCCACCTTCCTTTTCAGAACCAGATCGCTAATAGCGAAATCCCTGTGCGTCACCTTCTTGTTATGGCTATTCACAAGCGTCTATTGATAAGAGGCAAGCCTCACTGCAGCCGCATCCCTTTTTTCCTCCAGCAAATTAAGATTAAACCTCAGCATTTTATCATTCTGCTCTTGATCTCACACCAAGCTCCTTACAGTTGGAACCAAGTGCTCCACTGGTATCACCGCCTCGGTTCCATATGCCATAGCGAATGGGCGTCCAGTTGGCCATCTTGGGGTTGTTCTGTAAGCCCACAAGATGTTCGGAAGCTCATCTAACCATTTGCCTTTTTCATTCTCCAGCTTTTTCTTAATACAAGCAAATATTGTCCTGTTTGTGATTTCGGCTTGACCATTAGCCTGGGGATGACTGACTGCTGCTAACTTCTGGTTAATTCCATATTCTTCAAGCAGCTCTTTCACTTGCTTACTGTCTAGGTTGGTTCCATTGTCCATCACGATTGACCTTGGTACGCCAAAACGATAGATAATATTATTCCAGATGAAGCGTCTTACTTGAGTTTGGGTGACACTAGGGTACGGCTTTGCTTCTACCCATTTGGTAAAGTAATCAGTTGCTAGCAGAACGTACTTATTCTGCGATCTTGCAGTCGGCAAAGGGCCAACCACGTCCATCCCCTACTACGCGAAAGGCTATGGGGTGGCCATTACGTGCAGGTCTTCAGGTGGTTGATGTATCAATGACCCAAACCTCTGGCATTTATCGCATCTTCTAAAGAATTCTTCTGCATCTCATGCCATGTTTGGCTAGAAGTACCCCTGTGTTATTGCTTTGTGTGCTAAAGATCTTCCTCCTGAATGATTTTCGCATACTCTCTCGTGAATGGTTCGTATAATCTGTCTAGCTTCTGCTGGGGTAACACACTTCACATATGGACCCGAGAAGGAGCGTCTATACAACTGATCACGCACAATGGCATACTTTGCCGCGTTGGACCTAATTTTTCTTGCCTCGTCCTTACGCTCGGGGAGTGCATCATTACGTATGAAAGCCATGATTGGATCAATCCAGCTCGGCTCATATGGTATAACATTAACATGTTGAGTGGTCGGATTAGGCAGCTCTTCAAAAATGGAAGGTTGGATCAGTATGTCGACCGGGATGACCCTAGCCAAAGTATCTCCAGAACTGGATGCACTACAAGCCAAGCGGTCGGCATCTTCGTTATACTCTTTCGGCAATTAGATAAACCTGATCTGATCAAAGCCTTTCGCCTCACGCAGAACCGCAGTTCGGTATGCTTCCATGGTCTTACCCTTGGCCCCATAGTCCCCATTGACTTGTCGAATGACTAGTTGTGAATCACTATAAGCAATCAGATACTTGATCTTCAGTTCTTAAGCCAACTTCAGCCCAGCTATCAACGCCTCGTATTCTGCTTCATTGTTGGTTGCGTTGAACTCTAGTCTTATTGCTTGGCTCAGCGTAGTTCCTTTTGGTGTTCGCAATTGAATTCCAATCCCGGCCCCCATTTGATTCGAGGAGCTGTCTACAAAGAGCTTCCACCAGGAACAACTATAATCCTCCACCACATCTTTAGCATCACATTCAAGTAGGAAATCCGCCACCACTTGACCTTTGATTGCCGTCCTGGGCTCGTATGCAATATCAAATGAACTCAATTCAATGGCCCACTTGGTCATTCTCCCCGATAGGTCCGGTTTTTGCAGGATTATTCTCAAAGGGAAAGTTGTTAAAACAACGATTGGATGAGATTCAAAGTAATGTCTAAGCTTCCTTTTTGCGTTGACCAGTGACAAGATCATTCGTTCGGCCCTAGAGTACCTTCTTTCCGGTTCAGACATTGTTTTGCTAACATAAAACACCGGGAACTGCTTGCCCTCTTTGCAACGGATCAGAACGGCACTAGTTGCTATACTGGATACCCCAAGATACAGAAAGAGTTTCTCATTCGGCTCTGGAGCAGACAAAACCGGAGGATTACGCATGTACTCCTTCAGGCTGGTTAGCGCCTATTGTTGCTTATCCTCCCAGGTTTGCCTTCCGTGCCCTCGAATTGTATTAAAGAAAGGTTTACAGCGGTCCGAAAGCTTGGAAATAAATCGGCTCAGTGCAGCTATCCGACCTGTGAGTGCTTGCACCTCCTTAATTGTCTTTGGCTTTGCATTTCTGATCAAGGCTTCTGCCTGCGCTGGGCTGGTCTCAATTCCTCTATGATTGACCACATGTCCCAGAAATTGACCGGAGCTTACGCCGAATGAGCATTTGGCCGGATTAAGCTTCATCCCATGCTGGCACAACACATCGAACACATCTTGCAGGTGCGCTAAATGATCGCTCTTCTTCTTACTCTTGACCACCATATCATCAATACAAGCCTCGACAGTGCTTCCCATTTGGCCCTTAAAAATCTTGCTGATCAGCCTCTGATAAGTAGCTCCAGCGTTTTTTAATCCGAACGGCATGACTTTGTAGTAATAAGTCCCTCGTTTAGTAACAAACGAGGTTTTCTCTTCATCAATTGGATCCATGGGAATTTGATTATAACCGGAATAAGCATCCAGGAAGGTTAACCGCTCATATCCTGTGGTGGCATCTACTATTTGATCAATCTTGGGCAATGGGAAACTATCCTTTGGGCAGGCTTTATTCAGATTAGTGAAGTCGATACACACTTTCCATTTCCCATTCTTCTTCTGCACTACAACAACGTTAGAGAGCCAGGCCGGGTACTGAACTTCTCTGAAGAATCCGGCTTCAAACAGCCGATCAACCTCCTTAGCTATAATCTTATTTCGTTCTGGAGCAAATCTTCTCTGCTTCTGCTTCACTGGCTTTGTATTCGGATCCACATTGAGGGAATGACAGGATACAGCAGGATTTATCCCTGGCATATCTGAATGGCTCCATGCGAATACATCCGCATTCCGAGTCAAGAAATCAGTCAACTCGAGTTTCTCTTCTTCAGTGAGTCTGGTTCCCACCATTGTTGTTCGGTCTGGTTTCTCATGGTCAATCTTCACTTCATGAAGGGGTTCTGTGGTCAGAACTGGTGGCTCCTCCTCCCCATCCTTGCTGGGAGGAGGGTTCTGTAATTGCTATTTTGGACTGGCAGAATGGATGGGATTTTTTCCTTTTCCAGCAGATTTCAAAGTTACTGAATAACATTCTTTAGCCGCAACTTGGTCCCCGTGTATGTCTATCACCTTGGTCCCATCCGGACCCAAACATCACATCACTTGATGCAAGGTTGACGGGACGCCCTGAACTCTGTGAATCCATCCTCTGTCCATCGGAGGTTGTAGGATGGATGAATTTCCCCGACCATAAAACTTTCAATCAAAACTCGCTCAGCAGCTTGTACTGTCAATTCTACCATTCCAATGGGTTCCACTCGCTTCCCATCAAATCCAAGTAACAGATTTCCTGTGGGTTTGAGTTTTTCAGGTTCGATCTCTAGTCGGTCGAACATCACCCTAGGCATGACATTCGCACTACTTCCTGGATCAATCAGGACTCTCCGAACCAGGCATTCTGCAACCGTCAGACTGACGACTAGTGGATCTTCATGAGGAATCTGAACGCGTAGCAGGTCCGTTTTATCAAACTTTATCGATGTGGACGCGTTCTGCTGGTGCAAAGCATGCACACTGCCAATTCTTCTTTTCAGCTGGGCCTGGCGTAACCTCGTTCTGAGAAACTCTTTTGACTCCGTCGTTTATTCAGGCCGGCCATGAATTGCATTTATAATCCGGACAGGCTGAGAGTTGTGTTGGTTCGGCCTCTGGTTCCACTTGATTTGCTCAGTCGGGTGGTTCTGCTCTTGCGCCGGACCTTGAACATAGCTTGCAAATTCCCCCTTTGCGATTAGCATCTCTACCTGCCTCCTTAGGTTCCTGCATTCGTTAGTCTGATGTCCAAAATCACTATGGAAAGCACAATGTTTAGTCTGATCACTCTGTTCAAGAGGTTGCCTGATTGGCAGAGGATGACGAAACTTATCTTTGTTCTCTTGGTATAGCCTTGCTAAGGTGACTCTGAGTGGAGTGACTGATTCTTCTTCCCTGGGCTTCTTCTCCGCCTTCCATGAGGGGTGACATTGTGGTTGGGCTTGTTTTTGCCGGATCTTGGCTTTGGACTTCTCCTCAGTCGAAATAATTGACGTCTTCCTCGAATTAGCTGCTTCTTCCTCCTTAAGATGAACGAAACCGTCAGCTCTCTCGTTTAGCTTGTCCATTGTCTTTGGCGTATTAACCACTAAGCTGGTGTGGAACGGCGTCCCCCGGTTCATTGCGAGTTTAAATGCTTGGACTGCTGTGGACGGCTGACACTCCATTACCATGCTTTTAACGAGGTTGAACTGGGTGAGAAAAGCTTGGAGACGTTCATCCTCATGCTGCTTCATTGTGAAAAGGCTTGATACATCCTTAGCCGGACGTTTATTCCCGTAGTACTGGCTTATGAACTTATCGCATAAGTCCTGGAAACTGGCGATTGAGCCCTGAGCCAGATTTTTGAACCAATTGAGAGCTGGTCCAGCCAAGCTCGTAGGGAAACATTTGCACATCAAAGGATCATTATTAGTATTCAAAGCCATTTTCAACTGAATATGGTATATGTGATTGACCGGATTGGTTGTTCCATTAAACAGAATGAAAACTGGCATGGAAAACTTCTTTGAATTCGGTGCGTTCATAATTTCATCAGTGAACGGAGACGCGACCGTCCTTGCTGATGAACGCAATACTTCGTTTTCCCTTGAAAACCGTGACAGAAATCCTCGATCGGCAGATCTCCTTTCTGAGCTATGGTAATCAACTGTTGCTAATGAAGGTCGGTATGGTGGATCGAACAACCTGTCCTCCGCAAACTCACTCCGCCACGGTGACGCAATCCTATGTTCATATACCGGTGCTTCCTCCCTCATAATCCGTTCGTGATGCGGTTCCAGATGAACAGATCCTTTTCGATCCTCTACTCGACGGACATTCGAAGGCAGATTGCCGATTATAACTTTATCACGACGTGGACCAACACGATTGACATTTTCTGGATCACCTTGACGATTAGCTTGGGATGGTAAAGCTCCCTCTCCTTCAGGAGGTGGCCTCGGAATTGCAGGAGCCTCATGACGCTCCATTCCAGCTCGTAGCTCTGCATTTTCTTTCCTCAAAGCATCGATCATGTTCATCAGCTCATCGAGCTTCGTCTGCTGGCCGTTCTCCAAAGGATTCGAGTTCGCATCTCCGATCATCATTCCAGATCGGAGCAAAGTCATCAACTGCAGACTTCTTGACCAAATCAGAGTTCCACTAACGCGCGCACACCAGATTTGAACTTACACTTGCTGAATTCAGTCTGCTACTGGCCGGATTCAGTAATCACAACAGATCGCAATTACGCAGTTCGCCTGATCAAGCACGGATCTGATCTGCTTGGATCGGACGCCAATTTTTTGAAATTAACCGGAGCCTGGACTCGTCAAGACAAATCGTATTATCACCAATGTTGATTCAGCTTTCGCAGATTAATCGTCTTCCTCGCAGAGTGCGTTGAATCGATCCGATCTCGAATAACATCAATCAATCCTTCCTGTTCTTCCCACAGACGGCGCCAATTGAAAGTACAGAGAATTTTCCCCTTTTACAGAGAGAGAATTTCTTCACTCCCAATACTTTCTAACCTTTTTTCCCTCTCGATTTCCCTTATTTATAGACGGTTACAACCTCTTCTGGCTTGGGCCTTATCTGCTCCCCTTTGCTTGGACTCAACTTCCATCATTTTAACATGGGCTTCTATAATGACTTTATGGACTTGCGCCCATCCCGCGTGAACTTGCTCCATCCCGTTTGTCCACACCCGACCCGTCCTCTGCAATGCGGATCACACCAAGCCCGGGTCATTTTGGTGTCCTCAACTATCATGACCGGCATTTGACTTTTAAGCATGAGAGAAGTGTAAACTCTTTTATTAATTAGTAATTACTTTGATTAGTTCAGCGAATTCTTCGAAATCCATAGACCGACATTTTGGGTAATTATGTAATTAATAGTTAGAGGGTTACATTTTTAATATTTGCATAATTGCTATTTATATTTATTTTGTATTGATTATGGTTGATCACAAAGTAAATTCGAAGGCCTTTGTGTGTTTTTAGACAAAATGATTTATTATATATATATTTATTTAAATTATTATTTTTGTCAAACAAATGTTTTATTGTGATGAAGTCGGAAATAATCAAAGGTACCAAAATAAATATATTAATTTAGTAGTTGGATTGATGGCTTTATTTATCCGATAACTAATTATGCATAGAGGGGTCAAAATGCAACATTGACTTAGAAGTTATTTATTATTTAATTGGAATTCAATTAATTTCTTATAGTAGAGTAGAAATTAATTTATGAATTAATTGAATTAGGTCCATGGTATAATGGATCGGGCCAATTATTAATTCATTATAGTCAAGAAAAGAATAAGCCCAAAGGATTCTCACTCATAGCCCAACTTGATATTGAAGGTTCATTAGATTTGAGATATCACGTGAATTTTAGAGATTGAGTAAAATATATTGTCTTTAATTATTATTTTTATTTTGCCTATATATACATGGGGTCCATGTATATTTTAGATTACGCCTTTGTGCAATAATTTTTAGAAGACAATAAAAGTTTTTCTCTCTCTAAGATTTTAGGGTTAGTACTGTTCTTATTTGATGGAGGCTTCCATAAGTTAAGCTTTCCAAGGTCATTCGTGGAGGCTTATGGGTGATTCTTAAAGGCAAGATCATTACCAAGAAGATGGAGATACAAGAGGAGGCATCTAGCTAAGGGATCTACAATAAGTGAGAACATTCACTTTAGAGGAGAGATCTATGAGTTACTCAAACCTTTATGTAAGTTTTCTATCTCTAAATAAATGGATCATCATATTCTTCATGCATAAAACTTATCTCTACACATGAATCATGATCTTTATTTGAAAA